CACTGTAGATAATCCCTCTATTTACCTAATACACTGTACATCAGCTGTCATATTAGGCTTTCCCACTGTGGACAGAATGTGCATGTGAATCTTACGGACAACCTGACTTCCTCCAGGCACACTCAGCCTGTCTCAGTGACTGTAAGTTGGACTTGTGGACAAGAGAAGGAGCTCAGCTGCAATATGACTTCTCTCCTCTGGCCAATGTCACCGGCTTCTACAGCAGCCCCCGCTTCACAAGCAAAGGCCTGAGATATTTTCTTCGCTTTAATGTGGGTCTGTGTGGGAAAGAGGTGAGAAAGTTCGTGTTTTTTTTTTTTTTTTTATTTATTGTTCTAAAACTAAGTGTGATGTGCATTTTAACCTGCCGTCTTTTTCCTACAGGGCAGAGTGCCAGCTACCTGTGTGGGAAATGTAACAGAAAGTGGGAGAGAGGTCAAAGGTTATGTCTGTCAGTCCACCGTGGTTCCCTCTGAGATCAGGAGTCAGAGCGTGGTGTCTTCACAACCTTTCCTTATCGGTGACTCACTCATCGGTATGAACTGACATTCATTTATTTTTGTAAATTTGAGGAAGAGTGGTAAACAGTTTTTTCAACATGAGACTGAGTCATCTGATAAAAGGCTTGTTGTTCAAATTTTCATTAATGGCAATACACACATTTACACACCCTCTGTCTATATGTAAGTCCATACCCACCGGCAATTTTGTCATTCTGACTGTCCAAACTATACAGCTGCATCTGGATTTGCCACTTTTTCTATTTTTCTGCACGTCACTCTGTCAGTTCTCCAGAAAAGCAGCAATTAAAACATTTTTTTGCAATCACTCCTTGGATTTTCACACACATTTTAAGCTCTTAGGAAATTATACCCATGTATGTTTTCCCCCAAATGTTTATCTCGAGCTGTTGCTTATGAAGTCATGAGTATTTAATAGATTAGATAAAATAATCTCCAACAAAATTGTCAGGAGCTTTTACTACTTAAATGCCTCAGATCATTTGTGTTCAATACATCAAGGGTTTCTAACCTCGGATCTGATATTTTTAGTGATATTTTTTGTAAGATTAACATAAATTATGTTTGTGTTTTGTACTCTTCTCTTTTAATCACACCTATGATGTGGCTTCAGAGACTGAAATACAATAGATTGCAATGACTTTTTGTACAGATGACCATTACTAACATCATATTTGTGGTTTTACATGAAAAGCTTCAACGGTTATTGGAAGAAATTCTCATGAAATCTGTTGCAGACATTCATGTTCCCCTCAGGATGAGTTTGTTCATTCTGAGTTCTCACTCCATTATCAGGTCTCAGTGGTTTTTGAGCAAATAACATTAAACAAATGATAATCCTATCAACCTCAAGTGTACTTTTTGTTTAGTGCTGGAAATGTTAACCTGCTAATATGCTCAACTAATATGGCGACACTGCCAAATATAAGACCTGCTAAACTTTAGGGTCAGTATTGTCACTGTGAGCATGTACAGCCAGTGAAGAGGTGCCAAAATAGAGGTTGATTTTCAGGTTTGCTAGGGGAAAGAAAAGTTAGGAGTCACTGGTTGATAATGCGTGAATGTTATTTATCAGTTAAAAGGTATGCTTCATGTCTTGTCAAGGTGTGACCACTGTCACGATCCTGAACGGCATCTCTTCTCCAGAATGGTTGTTTCCTCACTCATCTGTGGCCGCCCTGTCTGATGTCATATTCTATTATAAGTAAATAAGAGCACAATTTTAAATATTTGTTGCTGGACATTTTGTCATCTGTTAAATTATGTAGTCTGAGACATGCTCATCATGCTTGTGATGTCTCCAGGTCCAGTGAGACGACTCAGGCTTGTAAACAAGGCAGGTCAGCTACCATCAGACTGAGATGTAATCCCACCGTGACTGCCAAAGACCAGTTCACTCTCCCAAGGTATCTTCTATCATGACCAGACTCAACTTTTGACCTCACAGAAGTCATCCAAATGTTTGATTTGACACACATAATGTATTACAACAGCCATTCTTGTTACTAATATGCCACATATTGAGCTCTCTGAGGCTGAGCTGTGGACTCACGTAAAGCTTGAAAACACTTCTCCTACCTTGTTTTCCTCCACAGTAACTGCTCAGAGGGGACGTGTGATGGTTGCACTTTCCACTTTCTGTGGCAGAGCCAGCATGCGTGTCCACTCTGCACGAAACACCACTACAGAGAGATTGTCAGCGCTTGTGTCCAGGGAATACAGGTAGTGCTGCACAGGCATGGGCATCTTGACAGAAATCATTTTACCGCCTCAACTCCACAAACCCATGCTGTATGGAAAGAAATACTTCTAAAAATAACAATTGTGTCAGAATAGTATAAAAAATGATATCCAGATTTTTCATTTTATGTGAAAAAATTATTCACAAAATGTGAAGTTCAAGCAGATACATGATGTTTGATCTAACTTTTAAAGGACTAGTTTAGCATTTTGAGAAATATGCATTTTTATGTATTTCCTATGTGCTTAGCTAACCAGCTGCTTACTGTTGCTAAATAATAGACTGACATGAGAGTTGTGCCAGTCTTATCAATAACTTGAATTTTTTTCAAAATTGTCAAACAATTCCTGTAAGGAAGCTATTGAATACATTCAGATCAAGTGGTTAATTTATATGGGAAATAGGCAAATTTAACTACTTGTGTGTGTGTGTGTGTTTGCATTTCAGAGAACCACGTATGTGTGGCAGCAGCCACTGTGGTGTTATGGAGGAGAGACCCTACCTCCACTAAAAGTTAATGCTTGTGTGACTCTGGATTTCTGGCTCAAGTTTGGTGTTTCCGTGGGAACAATCGCTGCTGTGCTGCTCATCAGTATCAGTTGCTATTTCTGGAAGAAGACACGCAAGTGAGACCGCTAAACCTTTCCTTTGGTGTTTGTTGAAACATGTCCCAGTAGTAAATACAATCCAAGTGAGAAGAAAGAAACTGTAGTCGGTCTAGACAAGATGCTATTCCTGTCATCCTTTCCTTGCAGGTTACAGTATAAGTACTCCAAGCTGATGATGACCTCAGGGGGTAAAGAGTGTGAGCTCCCCACTGCAGACAGCTGTGCAATAATGGAGGGAGAGGATGCAGAGGATGATCTTGTGGACCTCACCAAGAAATCCTTCTTTACCAAAATCAGGTCATTCTCACGAGAGGTCTGTAACCACTCTATTCACACACGCACACTGAGATACATATCCAGCTGCTGTTATTATAAATGTTATTATCAATGTGTTTTCAGAGAACATCAGATGGATTCGACTCGGTTCCTCTTAAGTCATCACTGACACGCCATCGAAGAGAGGAGGAAGACTCTGATGATGCTTAAATCAGAGGATGAACAGATCCTTCTACCAAAGCGCAGATGAAGTGTTGAATTTTAGGCATATAAACATCAGTGCAGCTTCAACAGATGAAGAGAAAGTGCTGTTAATGCATTTTATTTGTTACAAAAAGTACATACTTACTGAGGGAGTTTTGAAACAATGTAAAGGGTGACACTTATACAGTGTGTAGTATTGTCAAATGTTAGGTTTCCCAACCTAATAAAAAGTCTCCATATTGTAGTCCTATGTATTTTCAAGACCCGAGGTGTCTTTCAAAATGATCTAAGGCCCAAACTGTGAAAAACATTCAACTTTTTGTAGATAAGTGAGACTGTGTACAACTGTTTGTGTGTATTTTATTATCTATTTTCTCCTTTTATTTTTTATTAGACTAGCCATATAGTTACGTTTTATAAGGTTATTTCAGTATTCATTATATTTTCTGCATCTTTTCCTGACTTTTTCTGCTGAACTTAAACCTATGATATAAGTTGGTTTTATTATGAAGCAATCACATTTGATGTGCATCTTCAGGAATTAAAGACTTTTAATGCTGGTTTTAGGTGCTCCTTGCTAGATCATATTGCAGAGCATGAAAATAATTACTTCACATTATATTATATAATAATGCTTTTATGCAATTACTTTATATCTTAAGAGTCAAGAATCTTTATTGTCATTATGCATAGCACAACGAAATTTTTTCCGGCAGCTCTTCGCTTAAAAGACAGACATATTATTTACATAACACACATTATTTGTGTTTTCATGTTTTTCAGTGGAAAAAATGCCTCAATGTCAAAAGTATTTTTGTAGTTGTTGTTTTAAGTAAGAATAGAGACTGAATTTTAACAGCCATGTTGATATTTTAGCTACATCTTGCTGTTAATAATTAGTTTAACCTTTTTTTGATTACCAAACTTTTATTTGTAATGGAGTATTTTTACATTGTTTTTCCAGTGGTGGAAAGTAACTTAGTACCTTTACTTAAGTACTGTATTTATGTACAGTTTTGAGGTTATTTGTACTTTACACGCACATTTGCATTTTCTGCTGCTTCATATTTTGACTTCACAACATTTCACAGGCAAATATTGTGCTTCTTACTGTATTATGTTTATTTGACAATTTTGGTTAATTTTTAGAATCAGATTAATGAAACAAAATACCCAGCAGTACTTCAGATTGTAAGCATCTAAGAAAGTTAACGTTAGCTCCACTTTTACCAGCTGCAAAATTAAATTTGACTAACAAAATAATGCAGCAGTCATTCAAATCTTATATAATGGTATTCATTAAATTGAAACGTGCTGTTCTGCATAATGTGTACTTTCACTTTTCATACTTCGAGTATATTCTGATGCTAATACCTTTGTACTTTTACTTAAATACAGTTTTGGATGTAGGAATTGTACTTGTAAAGGAGTATTTTTACACTGTAGAACTGCGACTTAAGTGAAAGACCTAAGTAGTACTTCTTCCACCATTGTTTTTCTGCTAAGTAAGAGGCCTGTCTGCACCTTTCTTATTTTTTCTAGTACCACTGAAAGCACCATGGGGTTTGGTTTTTGTTTTTAGTCTCTTCTCATTTCTTGTCATCTCGGCCTGACCCGTTTTTTTCCCTCGCGAGACCTGTAGTTTAGCAAGGGGGGGTGAAATCTCGGGAGTTGTCTGAAAGCGAGCAGAACAGTGAGAAGATTCAAAAACGTGCACGTTCACGCTGCATACGGCTATTTTGCAACGTTTCACAAGAGGACAGCCCCGTAATTTAAGATTATATTAAGTTCTCTAACTACGACAAACGTTTCATGTAGTTGCTCTTTTCGTAACTTTGGGGAAGTTTTACTGTGAGAGCCCACCTCGGACAAATTCAAGTCGGCCGCTGGTTTTGCAGGAATGTCGCAGAACGAGAGACCCAAGTTTTATCGACAAGATGTGAACAAGACAATATGGGAAGTCCCGGAGCGATACAAAGACCTTTCTCCGGTCGGTTCTGGTGCCTACGGATCCGTGTGGTAAATTACTTTTTCTTTAACTTTGTGTATGTGTAGCCCCATTCATTTAGGCCTGTGCTGCAGATGCTAAAGTTAGGTTAGCATGTCCTGTTTGTTGGCTAGCAAGGTAAATGGTCTTATACTTGTATAGCGCATTTCTATGCTTTTACAGCACACTCAAAGCACTTTCACACTGTTCGGCCATTCACCCATTCGCATTCACACACCGGTGACATCACCGGGAGCAACTGGGGGTTTAGTGTCTTGCTCAAGGACACCTCGACATGTTGACTGGACAAGCCGGGAATCGAACCGCTAATCCTCCGGTTAGGAAACGACAACAATTAACTTTATCTAGGTCGTTGTTTCCACCCGAAAGGCCTGTAATCGGTCTGTCTGACTTCACATATGTGCACATAAGCGAAGTTGCACTACAGGAGACCGCTCCCTTAAACTAATGTTGATAGGTTGAAAATGTTCCAGTCTTTATCAGATCACTGGGCATGGTGCACTCCAAAAACTTGTGCATCAGTCACTATTTCCTGTTTTTCACATACTGTAACTGCCGATCCTCTTTCCAGGGGTAACTTAAAAGGCATTTTTTTAGGGAACGAGATGCAGGTTAGGTTACATTATCAGGGTGAAGTCCCACCAATAGGTGATGTAATCCGATTAAGTTAGACTGAGGTGAGGGTGCTGCTATTGTGATTTGAGGACGACATTGTATCACTTTAAAGAAATCTTCAATAACGAATATATGGCTGGAAAAATAGCGTTTTATTCAACTGAAAGACACAAAAGGCAAAACAATTCAGGTGCATTTTGAACAGTTTTAACTAACCATCTTGTAGTGAATGTGACTTCAGTTTTACTTTCTGAATTATGAATGTAGTAAAAAGAACAATACACAAGCACGGTAAAAGGTTTGCCCACAAACTCAGCTCACTGGCTTCTCTCCTGTATGATCTCCCCCTGGCACTCCGTCATGCTGGCAGCTGCCCTGGTTCTGTTACGTACTGATTACAGAGACGGCTAAAGACGATACAGGTCTGCAGCACAGAGGCATTTACAGTGTTGTAAGCTTACGTCTTTTGATTTCCTATTAAAGGAACTGGCTGGCAAGGTGGCTTTCCTTAATGTTGCTGGATGACTTTCACAAGCTGGATCTTCTGCATTTGTGTGGTAATTAAATAGGTTGTGCCAATGCTATCTAGGACACAACATTGTCAGCGGTACACTTGACTTAGTGGGCAGATGTTTGTTTTGCAGATGGAAGCCGACAGCTGTGCTGTTACTGGGCAATAAGATAATCTGTTGCTGGCCAGTTTACTGGCTGCCCACCAATGCACTGACTGTGGCCCCCCCTGGACTTGACCCAAGGTTTACTTTGGTTCTCTGACCAGTTAATTTAGACAGAAATTGCACAGCTTTAATTGTCATTGTAAAATGTCAAGACTGTACACACCTGAAATCGAAAAGTCTAGTTACAAAAAAAATAAGTTAACATTTATTTATCATAATTAGAAATTGACTTGTTCATAATCACCTTTATAAATTACAGTGCTTCTGTTCCAGTAACTTTACAATTAACCTCTTTCTCACAGTCACTTGCCAAACCGTCTGGAACAGTTTGGAGTTCAGTGTTTTTGACAAGTGGACAGGAGGAATCAGGGTTTGAATCGTCACCCCTGCATTTAATGGACAATCCACTACACCTACTGAGCCACAATATTCATTTAGTTTGTGAAGCTGGAGATTGTCAAAGTATTCAGTGTCTGTGTAACCTCATATTTTATTTAAAGTGGCTTTAATTTCTTTTCAGCTGCTAGAGGGTCTACTGACCCCATAAGTCGCTTCTAACCACTTTTTGCCTGTCCCATCTTGTTTCCTAGTGACGATGTAAACTACGGATGTGATTGCGACACACTGTACAAAATGCAGCCTCCAGTCTGAAGCTAGCGTTAGCTAGTGTTGTCGAATGCTCTAACATTACACAAAGCTTGATTTACTGCCATATCAAAATCATAATAGTTCAATTGCAAAGTCATGCTTGGTAGGTAGTGTTACCAAAAACAAATATGTTAACTTTAGATACTAATGCATCCAGAAGGAAGAATGCTACATCTGAGTCAAACTTGTCTTTTGCTGTTTCAGCATTTTTCTCCCATGCATGACAACCACATTTGTATTATGACCCTGATAAAGATAAAACATTAGTTTTGGCTGATATGGATGGGAAATGTCGACTTTGGCTCCAGCGGCTCTTGATGTTCGTGTGTAATCCTGGCCACAGGTGACTGTGGTTAGGTGAGCAGAGCAGGAGGAAGTGTTGGCCTTGTGTCTGTCAGCCCTCAGAGCGCAGGACAGTCTGCAGACAGGGCTGCTCCTGTTCTGCTGAGAGGTGACATTTTCTGCTGATGTTGCCCTATTTCTTAGCCTCCTGCACCTCTTGCTACACTTACTTTGCTTTTCAAAGCAAATGCAGCCCATTCTGAGTCATGCAAAACACTTTTCTGCTTAAAAATTACAAGCTTGCTTTTCTTTTATTTCTAGTTCAGTGTTGAGCAGGAGTCTGTCACTTGCAGGTTTGATCCTTTAAATCAGTGCATGCTGACAAAAACTTTGTGAGAGTTCTGGCAGCCATTTAAGCTTAACTGTTGGCCCACATTTTTATTTTTATTTTTTTAACAGTTCAGCGTTTGATATGAAGATTGGTTTGAAGGTCGCTGTGAAGAAGCTCTCTCGGCCATTTCAGTCCACCATTCATGCTAAGAGAACATACAGAGAGCTGCGGTTGCTGAAGCACATGAAACATGAAAACGTGAGTCAACTTGTTTCTCTTCCCTTTGCAGGTCCGGCCCAGACTCTGTTGGTTCCCTAGGCGGGATTTTAGGGACATCTTATGGTTTTTCATTGATGTCAATTTTATTTTATTCTAACATTATTTTAATCATTACAATGATCGATCAGTACTAAAATTGTTAACTGTCAGTAATTATTTTGCTTGTGGGTGTAGGGCGCTCTTCTGAGAAAAAAAACAAACTTTCATGTGGCGCACCCCCCGTCATTTTGCACCCTAGGCAACTGCCTATTTCGCCTATTTCATGGCCTGGCCCTGTCCCTTTGTTTTGTCTGCTGGTAAACAGGCATAAAAACCTAAATTGTTTGTGTTTGAGAATGCAGTTTCTTCAACAATGTGTTCGCTTAAAAAAAATAAAGATTATACTTGGTGCTTATTGTTCTTTGTGTTAACTTGACAGAGCTTTTCATGTTTTTGCAGGTGATTGGCCTCCTAGATGTCTTTACACCAGCTACTTCTCTGAAGGAATTCACTGATGTGTAAGTAGAGTGTTGTCACTTCAGCAGCACTCCCAACCATGCGTATTTTAACAGTAGTGCTCAACAAAGTGTAGCCTTTAGTTTCCCAGCAGCAGAGAATCGCAGCTGTGGCCGGGAACCACCTGGAGGCAGGCCAGTGGGTTCGACAGCCCTGGAGCAATTCTTAGACTCGGTGATTTACTCACTCTTTAGTTATTTCACCACCAGGTTCCTTCTCTGTGTTTGCATGTCGCTGGCCTTGTGAAACATATTTTAGCTGCTTACGCTGTTCACAAAAGGGTAGTGATTGTTTGTTGATATTTAAGGCTGTTAAAAGTGGGAAGTGAACCACTAGACGGTGACTCAGTCCTTAGACGTGCACACGCCCTCTTTCTTGCTCTTCCCTTCACTTGTATCAAGATCAGATTGTAACAGATTTTCATTTGACACCAGAAAAAAAGAATGTGAATTATGTTTTTCCTCTATTTTTGATTTCATACTTTGTACGTGTATTTTTGGAGAAATATTCCCCTGTGATAGATTCATCCTAACTATTTTGGAGCAGTGGACAATGCAGCAGCCAGACACCCACTTCATATCCGAAGCCTTGGTCAGCAGCATTGGCAGCAATATATCTAATACCTAACATGAATGCCATTTACTGTTAAAGGAAACCTACTGGGACAATATGTAAACTGCCAAGACCAGAGCCCTGGAACTTGTACTTTTGCTGCTAGGTGGCAGCGCTCCCTCAGTTTTAACCATGGGAAACTGCAGTGACTATTGGAATATATGGTATTTGTGGTGTCTTTTTCCCCACTAATGATTAATGATTTATTTCATCTGGCTGCCAGAGGTGGTGTGGATTTGTGTGATTGACTACACACTGTCACCAGCAGTCGTCGAGAGTTTTATCCCATAACCCTGTATAAACTTGTGACGTTAACCAGTGTGGGATAACTCTGCATCCACGCTACATTACATACCTCTTCCTCGCTAATGAGAGCTGTCTGCAGTCAGATCTCCCAAGATATATTTTAATCCAAGTGTGGAAAAGGCTTCAGATGTTGGCAGCTGGGGCTGATGCAGGGGGTCGTAGTGTGGCAAACCTTTCCTCAGTCATCTCCCTGAATAGCCCACACAGCCATTTCATATCTGACTTGAAAATGTGAATTAGTTGAGTACTACAGCATATGTAGAAAAAGGTTTTAAAGCTTAAGAGTTTAAGCTTGAGGGTACATCAGTTGCTAACAGCATAACATAACCCGTTTGTTCAACCAAACTGTCAGTGGTCGAGTTGAATTGTGGGTAATGTAGGAGCTATATTTTGTATATTTCCTTTAGGAAGAGGAATGCATGGAATAAAGTAGACAAAAGCTCTTCTGTTGCATAGGTTTTGATCCTTTTTAAACTATTGCCATTATATAGGAGAAATGCTGAATTTGTGGAATACTCTACTCTTTTGATGTGAAGCAGTTTTGTGGAATGGAACAGTGTCATGCATAGAAACATACAGGGACTTTATCTTTATTCCCTCACACTTTTATCAACAGTGTTTGCTGTTGAAATGGAGAGCTGTTCTCTCGAGATGCCCCACCCTCCTCCCAGATAATGTCATGGGGGATTGAAGGTAGTAACAACGTCACATGTAGACTGCACTGGAGCCTCGACTCCTGAGGGAAATCAAAAGAGGAAGAGGGGGAATAGGTGGGTGGTGTGGAAAGAGCAACTTGCTGTGAAGTGTCTCTTAAAGTGCTTAGAAGAATAACGGTTGAGTCACAGGTTGTCAGAAGGAAATATGGCCGTCTTTATCTGCACATCTGCTGAAATGTTGTAAATGCAGTGCATGCAGTGTGATAACAAGGAAAAAAAAATCTCAGAGCTGCAGGTGTTGTATGTGCTGTTCCCCTCAGCTTTAGAAGTGCAGAGCCACAAAGCTGCAGTACAGCTTCTTATGCTCCTGTTTCTTTAGTGCAGAGAAGAACAAGAGGTCACTATTTATATCCCTTTTTTCCAAGGCTGAAACTGAACTGTGTCCCCGTGTGTTCAAGTATAATCAGGTGTTATTTTAAGGCCTTGCTGTGTGAGCATAGAAGAGTGTTCATTGAGTAGGATACTTGTTGAGCAGCAGACTCATGAAGCAGCACATGGCACTGTGTGTTTTAGGTGCAGAACTGTCACAGTAGCATCCTGCTCTTGCTTTCGTCCATAAGTGCTGTTTGGGCATTTTAAACAGATCTGGGATTAGATTATTAGAATATATTAGATTATCCTCTGATGCAGTTCCATTAAGCCCATTTATCTGAGTGCGCTGTTAAATGACATTCTACTTGTAAAGGGCTTGGCCTTTAAGTGCCTCTGGAGAGAAGGGAGACTGAAAAGAAGTAGCAGCCAAACCGGTTTAAGATCATATGCCCATACGGGGAAATTAGTTTCAGACTGCAAACAACTCTGGGAAAATTTGTTTCCAGTGCAAATATATTCATTTATATCCATCTGGCTTTTTATGAAGAGGAAAAAAAAAGATATGCCACCTTATGTTTGTGTCTGTTTGCCCTGTGATGACGGTGTTTTCTGCTTGGTAGGTATCTTGTGACCCACCTAATGGGGGCAGATCTCAACAACATAGTGAAATGTCAGAGACTCACAGATGACCACGTGCAGTTCCTCATATACCAGATCCTCCGAGGGTTAAAGGTGAGGTTATTAAAGGAACAGTTCTGACACTTTTCAGTGCAAAGTCATTGTATCTGTAAACAGATGTAGTTTAATACACATACTTTTTTCCTTCCTTGTTTCTAGTATATCCACTCAGCAGACATCATCCATAGAGTAAGTGCAGTGTTCGGTTTTTGTCCGACAAATGCCACTTCCCCACCATGTAGCAAGGGGGTTTAAATTTGTCCGAGTTTATGACGTCTTTCTTTGGCAGAGCCAGGCTTGTGCAAACACTGAAGTGAAGGGAAGTCATAAACAGGACCTTTACTTTACATGGCAGTAATGATGTAAGGCTTTTATTTGAATGTTGACCAAGAAGAGAGATGTTTTTTCTTTCATGAGAAGTTGGAATGTTTCTCCAGAACAAGTTCACTGGCATTCTAAACATATGCTCATCACCGAAAATTGTATGGATTTTTTTCCCTTTAGGATTTAAAGCCTAGTAACCTGGCAGTGAATGAAGACTGTGAACTGAAGGTTGGTGAACTGCTGCATAAGAAGACATATCCACACATGTGAATGACTGCGTTTACATGCACTTAAGTAACCAGGTTAAAGTCGGCTTTCTTGAGTAAGCTGATTTCTTAACTGTCGTGTAAACGGGAATCCTGGCTTCCATAACCAGGGTAGCGGATTAGGGAAACTCGATTTCTCATGGAGAACGGCGATTTCTCTGCCATGTATACGCCTAACCAAGTTTCTAATCGGCTTTCTACAATAGCACGTGTACAAAAGACAAGTTCCAAGGACACTTGTGCACATGTGAGAAAACCATGAAGTTGTCATTGGCGTAAACAGACTATTATCAACATGGCTAGCAGCAGAAAGATGTAAATGGAGACTCAAGTCAGCCACTTGTTGGATGAATGTGTTTTGTCTTCTATTTGCCATTATTAATTTCATGACTAATGGAGCAGCTAATGTCGTGATCTGCAGGTGACGCATTGCTAAAGAGACCAAAATACGAGCTTGATTGACCGGGTCCATCTTTGTTTATGGGAGGATACAGCCGCATAATGACGTCGGGCTTTACAATTGTGGATGCACCCCAGCAGCGCCTTGGGGCTAGTTGGGGGGCTTACTTAGGAGCTCATGCACGCGGGGTTTTTGAGTAGCCTGTGCATTACTGCTGTGCATGTAAATGCGTAATTTGATTTCTGCTGTAAACCGGTTTCTCTCAGTAACCTCATTACTGCATGTAAACGCAGTCGGTGTTCTGCAGTCAGCTCTGCTTTGTTGTACTTAAATCAGATTTTGGACTTTGGCTTGGCACGGCACACCGATGATGAGATGACTGGGTACGTGGCCACCCGTTGGTATCGTGCGCCAGAGATCATGTTGAACTGGATGCATTACAACATGACAGGTAGATGACATTAAAAAGCTCGGAGACTCTTTGCATCTGTCATGACACAGGACAAGTGTTTTGACAAGTGGCTCTTGATGCTCCTGCTTCTCCTGTGTTTCAGTGGATATTTGGTCAGTGGGATGTATAATGGCAGAACTCCTCACTGGAAGAACTTTGTTTCCTGGTACTGACCGTATCCTTTTCATTTGAGGCTTCAATACTACAGAGCTCCCATAGATTCTAGCACACCATTTGCGTAATGACTCAAGCAGGTTAAACACACATTGTTACTGAAGTACTGATTTACAATGTACAGTGGGTACGGAAAGTATTCAGACCCCCTTAAATTTTTCACTCTTTGTTATATTGCAGCCATATGCTAAAACCATTTAAGTTCATTTTTTTTCCTCATTAATGTACACACAGCACCCCATATTGACAGAAAAACACAGAATTTTTGACATTTTTGCAGATTTATTAAAAAAGAAAAACTGAAATATCACATGGTCATAAGTATTCAGACCCTTTGCTGTGACACTCATATATTTAACTTAGGTGCTGTCCATTTCTGCTGATCATCCCTGAGATGGTTCTACACCTTCATTTGAGTCCAGCGGTGTTTGATTATACTGATTGGACGTGATTAGGAAAGCCACACACCTGTCTATATAAGACCCTACAGCTCACACTGCATGTCAGAGCAAATGAGAATCATGAGGTCAAAGGAACTGCCTGAAGAGCTCAGAGACACAATTGTGGCAAGGCACAGATCTGGCCAAGGTTACAAAAAAAAATTTCTGCTGCACTTAAGGTGCCTAAGAGCACAGTGGCCTCCATAATCCTTAAATGGAAGACGTTTGGGACGACCACAACCCTTCCTAGAGCTGGCCGTCTGGCCAAACTGTTTTTTTTTACCAGCACAATAGCTGCATGTTTTCAGTTTCACTTTTGAAAACCTGCTTTTCTGCTTTTCCCTTTCAACATAATGCTGCCTGAGGTGTTTCCATTAAAAATGTAAGCACACTTCCCCCTGACATGACACACACCCTCTGCTGTGATGTTTCCACTGAACTGCTTCAACTCTTCCTACACTCAGTATGCATAGTTGCCTCAGATCCTCTTTCTGCCTGCACTGCGGCCAGTTTCACACAGTTTTCTCGTGTGTGAAACATAAAGGCAATGTAATTAAACTGAGTGCTACATGTTTCACAAGGAGGCTCTGATTACAAGTTCCCCACCTCCTCCATTGTCTGGTCTTCCTTTACCGAGAGCTGGTAGACATTGATCAGTTGAAGCTAATCATGATGCTCGTCGGAACCCCAGGGCCTGAGCTCTTGATGAAAATATCTTCAGAATCTGTGAGTTCATAAAGTTATGCAAAGGTTGTTTTTCACACCAGTCCTCTGCTCTAAACTCACCCCTCTGCTGTGCAACAACCTGACAGAGCTGCTACATAACTGAAAGCATGGTTTCCAGCTTTGAGCTGTGCGGGTTTGACACTTGCTTCCTGCCTCATTAACTGAGTGAATTAAATGTTTGCTGTGAGATTATTGTGACACAGCTGATTGAGCTCCAGCTTTCACTCACTGACTGCAATGTGAACTGTTGTGTTGTTTCTTTCCTCTAAATCTGACAGTCGCTGCTCTTCAACTGTTTTCTCACATTTTGCTTTGAAGCTTGAAGTGTGCTTTTCAACATAACATTGTGCATCTGGAGTTTAGTCGCATTGTTAAGTTGAGAAGCTGCTTCTTAACTGTCTCTGCTCTGTCGCCACACTCCCCTTGACACAAGCTTTGTAGATATAAACCAGCTTCAGCAGATAATGCGTCTGACAGGAACACCCCCAGCGTCTCTAATAAGCAGGATGCCCAGCCATGAGGTGAGCAGGATCCACAGTTGCTTTCCTTCGCAGCAGACCAGGGCAGGAGGACAGTCAGACCTGCTGTAACACACTCTCCCTTTTGTTTTTAAAGCTTGTTGTTCTGTATTTATGTTTATTGTTAAAGGATAAGGCCGATCATTTTCTATATTAACGGTATTTACAGCACTCCCCATACAGAGACTAAAACTGACAGTGATTTGCCTCTACTCACAGTTGATGTCTGTCAGTCCTGGATCTGTTTATTCATCTCTCTGTGCCACAGACCACCTTTGGTGTTCCACAATGACTAAAAACACCACATCCATCCATTTTCTTCCGCTTATCTGAGATTAAGTCTCAGTGGCAACAGGTTCAGCAAGGTAGTCCAGACGTCCCTCTCCCCAGCAACGATTTCCAGCTCCTCTGGCGGGATTACAAGGCCAGATGAGATAAATAATCTGTCCAGCGTGTTCTGTTGTCCTGGAGGCATCCTGATGAGATGCCCGAATCACCTCAACCGGCTCCTTTCCATGTGAAGGAGCAGCTGTTCTACTCCGAGACCCTTCCACATGTCGGAGCTCCACACCCTATCTCTAAGGTTTAGTCCGGCCACCCTGCAAAGGAAACTGATTTCCACCACTTGTATTCGTGATCTTAAACTCCTTCACTTGGGGCAGCATCTCATTCCCCACCCAGAGGGAGCAGTCCACATCACCAAAATACCGTTGCACTGGGTGAGATATTTCTTCATTAGCAAATCCCAGACCCGAGCGTGAGGAGCTAGAGGAATGTAAACAAAGCTGAGAGCTCACACGAGATCTCACACATCCACAGTTGGCTCTGCCTTGTGCTAACTGCAGGAAATTATAGCTGCTCAGAGCCTTTGGGGCAACATAGTCAAGTCTGGGGTGTTCTAATGAAAAAACATGTCATCCAGTGCAGCGGTGTGTTTCACTGGTGTATTTTTAATAGTCCAGGACTGAGAGACTGATGGACATTAACCGTCAGTAGAGACAATTCACTGTTGGTTTGTCTCTTTATGGGGGTTGCTGAAAATATCAATGTAGAAAATGAAAGGCCTTATCCTTTAACCTCACAGTGGTATGCACAAGTTTCTTACATGGAATAGAATACTGAGTGATAGTTTGTTTAATCAAGATATGTGCCATTGGCCACACTAATGGGAACTAGACTCCAAGGATTTTGGTCAAATGGAGTGTAAGGAGCAGCATTAACTCCAGTTTGATACTAATATTTGTGTGGTTTGCTTGTTGCGTGTGATTTTGATGACTGACACAAGCAGCTTTGTGGAAAAGGCATTTCTGTGCATCTTGTTTTGCTTCAGTAGTATTAAAATGACTACAGAATTAAGGGCGCACACTGTAATAGCTAGACTTTCTGTTGGTGATGAAGTAGTTACTAACAACATTTTCTGTACTAAGGATTCTTCTGTGGTTTTCTTAGCACATTTCTCCAAACTTGCCATCTTGCTTCTTTGGACATAGTTTTTTGTGATTTGTGTTATTTTTCATTCCACATACTGTAATAGAATAATTGTCAGTCTGCAAACTAAACTTTTCCTTTACACTGAGAGGACAGTTATGACTGGTGAAATAAATCTTTTATTGCCATTAGTGTCGAGTCCTCATTCACATAGGAGACGAGCACAGCAGGGTCTTTTTACTGGATATTTGAGGCTCATTCCTTTAAAGTTTTTAATTTTTACATAAAAGGTTTTTGAATATATATCTAGTTGTTTAAACAAATTCAAAAAGCATGAATGAAAAATAGTTTCATCCAGATGTTTCTTTCTGCAGCCCCGATGCTGCTCCTAGGCCACACATTAGGGCTGTCAATCATTTGTTTGCCACAAGCTACACTTACAAACCCAAGCTGTGTATGTTTTTATTTATTTATTTTTTTTATATATCTTGCTTCAGCTAAGAACCCTGTGGGAACAGACAAGTCGGAAACCTTTGCTGAACCTTTGGGTGCCTCAGTGTTAATTCCTCATAAAACATGTTGCTGTAATTTCTACCATAAAAATTGCAAAAATCTTTGGGTTTGTGGAGAATATAGAACTAGTGAAAATCATTTTTCAGCAGAAATGATGAGCCTTACTTATACAGCAAAATGTTCTCTGTTTATCATCAATAAACATTCAGGGTTATGGGGTGCAGTATAGTCGTAGCTGTAGATAGAAATGTCATAACTTAGCAGTAATGATTTGAAGCAGGTGGCTCCACTGAACAGAATCTGTAGCCTGAAATAATGAAAGCATTATGGAACAGGCAGGACTGAATGTGGGCGGCATGTTGCTGCTCGTGGAAGCTGACATTTGATATACTGTATTTTTTCCAGGCCAGGAACTACATCAGCTCTTTGCCCGACTTGGCCAAGAGGAACTTTGCTGATGTGTTTATTGGCGCCAACCCACAAGGTAATACCAGGTTTGCCCAGCGGTGCTTGTTTTGTGTTATGGTGCAAGCCCTGCTGACTGCAAATATGTTTAAATGTAATTCCCCTTATTTTTGTGAGCGATATTGGGTTAAAAGAACAACTCTACATGACACTAGGATGTTTAATGGATCATAGACTCTGTTTAAATGTTAAGCTGTGGACCTTCTGGAGAAAATGCTGGTTTTGGACACAGACAAGCGCATAACAGCAGCAGAGGCTCTGGCCCACCCCTATTTCGCTCAGTATCATGACCCAGATGATGAGCCTGAGGCCGAGCCGTACGACCAGAGCTTTGAGAGCCGCGAGCTGGAGATTGAAGAGTGGAGACGTACGTAATCTTACTCAAGAATAATAAATCCATTCATGACTGAAATCAGTGATATGCAAAATGGTTTCAGATCTCTGACAGTAGGAAAACCTTGTTTAAATTTTGTAACAGTTTCTCATGTCTTGCAGGATTAACCTATGAGGAGGTGTGCAGTTTTGAGCCACCTATCCTTGATGAGGATGACATGGAGTAAGAAGACATCGACAACCAGTATCCAGCCTTAAATGTGCATTAGTATTAAAGTCTCAAACACACTTGTATCACAGTGCCTATCAGCTTTGGTCAGTCTTGATAAATCAAGGAAATAGCTTTCATGAGGGATCATTACAGCGCAGGAAAAGGACGAGCTCGCCCCGTTGACGTGATTCTTATTTATGAACCACTAATGTTGGTCTGTTGCTGGGAAGTGTTAATTCTTGCCAATAGCTGAAATTGTTTTATATTCTTAATTTTTTTTTTTAATTTAGACTTTGACTCATCACTGTGACTCTGAAGCTGAAATACCCGGACCTATAGTTGTACCGTCTTGTGTTTTTTGTTTTAAGTATGCCTAATTTATGAAGAGAATTTTGCTATGAATCGAAAAAAGAATTTTAGTATACCACTGACCTTGCCAAGCTGTCACACATAACAGTGGGTCACATGTGTTTTGTAAAATGTTTCATTCAGTTATCACCACAATTATCTTTTTATTTAAGAACGTAACTTGGATAGCTTGGAAGGATTTCAAAACTGTGACACAAGTGGATTCAATGGTTTTAGGATGACAAATGGAGAATGTACCTGTTCTGTGCAGTCACTGTTCTTTAGTACTCAGTAACTGAATCTTACAGATTTTAGTGTTTATTTTGGTCATTTAGATGCCCTGTGAGACACGTACAGAATTTGGCTGCACAGAAAAATCTGAGTCTGTTCTACTAAAGGACAGTGCTTTTCAACAAATGAATAGGAAAACGTTCACGGGTACATGCTAAGCTCAAAAATGTAAATATCTGTGCCATATTTTTTGAATCTTTGATTTATTGCGGTTATGAAGCAATCACTTTTTAGCATGTACATCAGACTTTGTGTGCGTCTGTGTGAGTGTGTCATTTTACAGGAATTTTAAGTGTCATGCTAATAGAAATATTGCTTAAATGTCTAAAATAGAGATTTCAGATATATTTATACTGTGTGGAGGTGGTATTTATAAACAGCAATGGAAAGATCTCTTAAACTATTTTCAGGCCAGCAGAATAACTATCTTCAGTTCTTTGTTTAACAAAAATAAAGATTTTTAAGAAACCCACGTTTTGTTACTTGCCTCTTTCAGTATGCTGTCTTTGTTAATTTTTTATCAGCAGAGCCAGTCCTCAGTGATTTCACTTGAGTATCAGGGAATTAATGTAATTCATTTTACCTAGATGACATTGATTTTTACATTTAGCATTTTAAAAATTCATTGTGTTCCCTATTTAATGCATCATTTGACCCATGATAATGGCAGGCACTGTATCTGCCCTGCTGGAGTTCCAATAGGTAAAACTGACACAGATTACTAGGACAAAAACAACAAAAAAAAAAATTTAATGATTTAATGGACTGGTTAATATATAACATGAAAATAGTTAAGTGACTTTGTTTCTTGAACAAGTCATGAATACATTGAATTATCAGGTCCAAAAGTATTTTTTTCAAATGGAAAATCATTTGCAGGGGTTTATGGTTCTTAAGTGCTATATTGTCATATTCAATATCAAATGTCTGTTAGGCCACAGATTTAAGACAAAAGATGTTTGTGGCCTGCACCGAATTCCCCGCCTTTGTGGACTGGAGCCCTGATGCTAACTGCTCTGTGATAATCATTTGTCACAGATATACTGTTTTGACACGTTTAAGAAATTGTGACGAAAGGCCAAAGTTACACTGTATGTTTTTATGGAAACTTAGAAACTGTCTCCATTATCCATCAATCATCTGTACCACTTATTTCTGAATAGGGTCACGGAGACTTGAGCCAATCCCAGCTGACATTGGGCGAGATGCAGGGTACTACATATCAGAGCTGACATGTAGACGGACAACCACACACACACACACACACACTCACACACTCACACTCACTCACTCACTCCTACGGACAATTTAGAGTTGCGAAGCGACCTAAACTGCAGGTCTTTGGACTGTGGGAGGAAGCCAGGCTACCTGGAGAGAATGCACGCAGGCACAGAGAGAACATGCAAACTCCACATAGAAAGCCCCCGGTTTGGCCAGGGCTCAAACCCTCTTATCCAGAGGCATCAGTGCTGACCACAGTCTGCCGTGCCACCCTTCTGTCTCCATTAATTTGTGAAAATGTTATTTTTGTTATAGAACTTATTAGCCAAATAATTCCTGTTTGATAAAAAAAAAATCTTGTTTTGTCAGAAAACAATATTAGACTGTATATCATCAGATTTTTAGTGCTTGAAATAAAGGTTATCTTTCCCAAGTTCCCAATTTAGATGAGATTGAGAATGAAATGCATTTCTACTGTCTGTTTTGTCATTGCAGTCTGGTATGGCAGATGGATATATAAATATCAAGGTTCAAAGTATTACAGTATTACAACAATTTTACATATGACAGTTTGCATACCTCCGTTTTTTTTATGCCTGCTATTTATGTATGAGAAAGTTGTATGTTTAATTTGTTCAGGTTATATTTGATATAATGTATATGTACCATGTATTGCTTACTTTTATTTTCTCATATCTCTATTGAAGGTGTTGTACACTGTGACATTTAAAAATGTTAATTCCCCAAATGGGTAAATCAGGCATCTGCTCAGGGGATCCCCAAACTCCCAGATTCAGGCTATGTTGATTTAGGTTTTGGTAATTTAATTAACTGTGCATTTCTTGAGGAATTTGAACCAATATCAAAGCAGGCCCTGACTTAAAGGGAGGCCCTGTGCTTATATGGTACACTATTCTAAATAAAGTGCAGTTACCTTTTTGCATCACCACTGACCAAACAGTAAACATTTGCCCAGGGGCCCTCTCATAGGCTGATCCGGCCATGCAGTCTGTTGCCTGCAACCATGGATACATTCATGCCTGCAACTTCAGTGTAGTAAAATCCATAAAAACGTTTTGACGCTCAGGCGGAGACAACACAGGGGAAACGCACAGTTGAGCAAAACGAACCAATGCGCATGCGTAGAACATTCGATCCTTGGTGGTGTAGCTAACGGCTAAGCTGCGGATCCAGCCAACATGGAGAGGAAAGGTAAATCTTTACACCGGCAGTTCGCACGGAGTATGAGTTATATTAGCTCGCGTGTGTGTCGACACTGCAGTAAATGTTCCAGCGTAGGCCCAAGTGTAAGGTTTAGCCGAGCTGCATACATTCAGATGGTGTTTTTTAATTGAACGCGTCTGTCACGCACTGTTAAGCTACGTTAGCTCTCCAGACATTAGCTTTAGCATCAATGGGACATGTCAGGATTAGCTAGTTAGCTACGTGTAGCTTTCTAGTTGTTTCAGTGTTATACATACACAAGATAAAACAGTGATAACTTTAACCAGCTGTTACCGAGCAGTTAGCCACCCTAGTATGTAAAATTAGCTGCTTCATATCACACAAACGTTACTGAATAACTGTTACCTAGTCTAGGTGTGTAGCTTAGTGATGTAACACTAACTTAATGTTGGATGGTTTTCAGTGTCACACTGGGTGACTGACCGACAGATGTATTGGAACTGTAATTTAGATTGTGGTGATTTAAAGCATGATATAATAAAATGGATACCGACAGAGTTTATGAGCTGCAGGGGAGGGTAGTTGCATCCTTTACCTCGATGCCATTCTTTTTGTTTTGAGCGTGAGCTAGGGATCAAACGGCAGCCAGACAATAGAAAAATACGTTGTTAACTTGTCACTGGTTTCTGCTGGCAGTTCTGGCACTCCAGGCGAGGAAGAAGCGGGCAAAAGCAAAGAAAACAAGCAAAAAGTGAGTACATGACAGTCGTAGCAGCATGTATTTTGTTAGTCACAGGTCATTATTTGTGGTGGTCTGACAGATGTGCGTCTGTACTTAGATTGGGTTGGTTTGCATGGTGTTCCAGTTGCATTTTCCATAAACATTTCAACATTATTTTAATAAGCTCATCAAAGGTATCTTTCCGGGTTGCAAGCGAGAGCAGACGTCTTTACTGCTCCTCTTGTCTGTTCTACGATTTTTCACATCTTCTACATTTTCAAGTCTTTGAACAAATTCTACAACTATTAAAATGCCTCCAAGAGAGAAAAGAGCTAATAAATCAGAAGCGAATGAGGATGTTGAAGCAGAAGAGGATTATATTTCAGCGGCGCAAGTAACAGAGATGTTGAGTCAGCAGAAGCAGATGTACACCGCACTGTTGAGCCAACAACAAGACAACTTCAAAGGTTTTGTGCAACTACTTATGGAGACAAATAACAAGAGACTCGACGACATGACCAGAGAAATACAGGAGATAAAAACGAGTTTGCAGTTTACCCAGCGAGATGTGGATGTGATTAAAGCAGCCATGGGTGAACAGAAAATACAAACCAAGGAAACAAGGGAGGATGTCTACAAAACCTGTGAGAGTTTAATAGCCATAACGGATAAAATGGAGCATTTGGAAGCACAGTCCAAGCGAAAAAACCTGATCTTCGAGGGAATCAAGGAGTCAGCTGGAGAAAGCTGGACGGATGCGGAATGTAAGGTGAAGGAAATATTAAAGGAGAAACTTCAAATTCATCAAGAAATTGAGATGGAGCGGGCTCACAGAGTCGGGAAACCTTCTGATCGGGGACCGAGGGC